TATAAACAAATACCATGGTATTACCAGTGCATGGGAAATTATTAATGGCCTTCAAGCCTATAAGTTGTATTTCTACTGTGCTCCCAATAGGATGGACAGAAAGCACATACCTGTGACTGAAGGTGGAAGAAAACACCATTGAAAATCATGTGAAATAGCTGTGGCAAAATGTAGCCAAGATACAAAAGAAAAAAAAAATCAAAGTCTAGTATTTCCAAATTCTAAAATTCTGTTTTTGGATAGCTGATTTCATAGAAGTATATGTGGTTATTAATATCAGTATATATGTGCTTTGTCAAGTTCAGCTGAAATGAGAAAAGTAGATGTAATTGAGGTGTTCTATTGTGTGGATGTCCCCAACAATTATCTTTTATTTTTAATATTTATTTATTTGAGATGGAGTCTTGCTCTGTCGCTAAGGCTGGAGTGCAGTGGTGCAATCTCGGCTCACTGCAACCTCTGCTGCTGGGTTCAAGCGGCTCTCCTGCCTCAGCCTCCAGAGTAGCTGGAATTATAGTAGGTGGCACATGCCACCATGACCGGTTACTTTTTGTATTTTTAGCAGAGACGGGGTTTCACTGTGTTGGCCAGGGTGGTCTCAATCTCCTGACCTTGTGATCCTCCCGCCTCGGCCTCCCAAAGTGCTGGGATTACAGGTGTGAACCACCGCGCCTGGCCATCTCCAACAATTATCTAGCCCTTCCGGGCCAGATGTTTAAATTCACAGAGAAAGACTAACCCAATTCAACTCCAAACTTCCTCAAATTTTCAGTAAATCTGAAACAGCTGACCATGTATAAACATGTAGGGAGTTCTGACAGACACATAGCTTCTTGTGAAGATGACAGGGATATCACCAAAAAATAAATAAACAAAATAGCAAGAAGAAAGAAGGTGATACCACTACTAACAATGGGCTTATTATCAAGATTAAATGAGTTAATTTATTAGAAGAGACCCTAGAACATAGTAATGGTAATGGCTATGTAGGTGTTGGCCGTATTAATATTATTACTATTTTTAGTGAGGCTATCAATATTTTCATTGTCAGATAGCAGAAACTGTCAATAGACAGCTTATTCCATCGGAATTTTTATAGACAGAGGGGAAATTCTGGACTTGTGTTTAGATAAGAACTTTTCAAATCCAGCTATGAACTAGATTTGAAAAGATGGAACCCCAGATTTCCTTTTTTTTTTCCTAGCCACATCTCTTAAAATTTGTGTTTTATGACAAAAGAGATTGTCCTCACTCAAAATTAGGCTCAATCACCACATTATACCTTTTTTTTTTTTTTTTTTTTGAGACAGTCTTATTCTGTTGCCTCTTAGTGCAGAGGTATGATCTCGGCTCACTGCAGCCTCTGCCTCCTGGGTTCAAGCATTCTTGTGCCACAGCCTCCCAAGTAGCTGGGATTACAGGTGTGCACCACCATGCCCAGCTAACTGTATTTTTAGTAGAGGCGAGGTTTCAGCATGTTGGCCAGGCTGGTCTTGAGTTCCTGGTGTCAAGTAATCCACCCGCCTTGGCCTCCTAAAATGCTGGTATTACAGGAGTGAGCCACCAAGCCTGGCCCACACACCATTTTTTAATACAATATAGTCAATCAACTGGAAACCACAAATCTAAATTATGCAAAGGAAATATGTAAAAAATGAACAACTTCTTTGAAAGAGATATTTTTTTTACTGCCACTCCACCTATTTTTCTCTATTTTATGATGATTTAATAGTATAACTACATTGCTTTTATAATGAGAAAAAGCAACACATTTTCTCTTATTTATTTTTGAGACACGATCTTGTTCTTTTGCCCAGGCTGGAGTGCAGTGGCACGATTATGGCTTACTCTGTAGCCTGGCTCAAGCCATCCTCCTGCTTCAGCCTCCCCAGATTTTGGGATTACAGGCACAAATCACTACACCTGGCCCAATTTCATTTTGAAAACTAACCATTCTAATCAAAGTTACAGCAAGATGCCTGATAAAATGTTATTTATAATTTTTTTTTTTACTGTTTTTTTATTTGCCAAGGTGCAAGAAAAGCAGCAATTTCTTTGTGAAAATATTTTTGTCCTTTTGGACACTGATTTGAATGGAGCCCAGGCAGAAAGTGAACAAATGCTTTTGGCACTGAACAACATCCAATAACTATGAAAGGGGTTAGACATTCTAGTCTTGTCACTGGTGTCTCAGTAGCCATTGTGACATAGTTTGTAAAAATATTAATCTATCAGGTGGGCTTCTCTTTAAATTATATACTTATTCATATGGAAAACTATAGGCAGAAAAATGGAGTGGTTTATTTATTTTAAATCCAAATTTCATTTAAAATAAGCAATCTATGTGCACGGTTAAAGTTTTAAAAGTGTATGAATGATCTGGTGAAAAGTCTTCTTCCCTAAGCCTGCTCTAGTTCCCCTTCCTGGAAGCAAATAGTGCTTTTAGTTGCTCATGTATCCTTCAAGAGATGCTTTATGCACATGCAAATAAATACACAGATATAGTCCCAATGTTATTGTGTAAGAAGAACAATGTTATAAGGAATTTGTGAAGCCTGAAATCTGTCTTAATAGAAGTATATTCTGGATAAGTAAGCTTCTCTATTTTTAATGTTCCAGAAAAGAATGAATGCCATCAATCATTCCATAATTACTGAGTTCCTACTACGTGTAAGGCATCATGCCAGATGCTGTTTGTACTGCCAAGTTGTCTTTAAAATTTTTCATATTTATGTCTTGTCAAATCATATCTGTGCTCAAACATTCCTATCTCAGAAAGGCCTTCCCCGATCCCCACTTGAAAGCAGCTCTCCCGTGCCCTGTCCACTCTATCACATTTCTGTGCTTTACTTCTTCTAGAGCTAAGGGGATTCTATAAGTCTTCACTACGTCTTCCTTTTGAGGTGAAGGAGAGTGCTGTTATCATTAGAGAAGGATAACAGAGGTAAACTGGCAATGTAACCTGAGATGGTTGGTCACCCTCTTCATAGTGTTTTTATTGCATTTAGCATTCCAAGATAATGGACATTATTGTGCCCACTTATTTGTTTACTTGTAAGTTCCATGAAGCAGGAACTTTTCTTGTTCTAGGAATCCATCACCCAGAAGAGTTCTTCACACAAAGTAAGTAGGTTCTTAATAAATATTGGTTGACTGAATGGATGACCCAAGAATGCCCCATATTCTGTGTGGAACTGAGCATCATTTGGTTGGCACTGGAAAATCGAAAAGCTGTAAAGGTACATTTGCTCAGAGTGCTCTTTCCCTAAACAGAGGGGAAAAAGGAGCCAACTTTTAATACTCAGATTTTGATCTGCAGCGTTTTCCGTGAAGACACGAGTCTGGTAGATAGGTACTAGCAACATCAACTCTTCTGTTACTTGTGAGGAGACTGAGGTGCTGTGGTCTCCAAGATAGGCCTGGTGTGAAGAGCAGATGAGTGGGATGAGAATGGTGATGGCTCAGTTGGATCTCATGGTCAGTTAGTCCATAAAGAAACCTGTCTCCAAGCAGTGGAACAGCTGAATCCACATGACTTAGTCCACAGGCCAAAAAAAAAAAAAAGAGCAGCTTTAAAGTGCCTGCCATGTAGGCCCATTCATCTCCCAAGGAGGGGGGCCAGTGGGATACAAAGGAACAAGCACTTTTCTGTGTCTGGGAAGTGGCTGGTCTGATCATGCACATGTACACTTCACACACACACACACACACACACACACACACACAC